TTTATAACAAGTAAGAAAGCCTTAGTTCGGACGGAGCCGAACATTAAATACCCGGTGCAAGTATTAAATATATGTTTTCCACCTTCTGAAAACTACCGCTACACGGTAAGCCGGGGTGGTTTTACCCCTATTTTAAACATCTTAGATAGAACGTTCAGTTAGACATAATGAGATAAACTTATATAGTCATATGTGGGCGATATCGCGCCCATTTTCCAAAATTCCAAACAATGCTACTTCTTTTCAAGGGATTCTTTTTAGTATACATTTTGAGTAAATTAGCGTCCTTAAAGTTCGAAATATTGAAGCATCAAGCATTTCTGAAATTTACCGTTATTTGAAAAGCGACCGTAATTTGAGTCCGATTTCAATAATCAGAAATGTATTTCTTGGTAAAGAATTGTTGCAAGTATCAATTTTGAATAAATTAGCTTTAATAGTTACTGATTTATCTTATGTTTCGTATTTCTCGAAATTACCGTTATACCATTACCATCCGAAGTGCACATACCAAGTTTCGTTAAGATATCTCAATGTTTACTCGAGTTATCGTGTGCACAGACGGACAGACAGTCACCGCTTAATCGATTTCTCTTGAATAACGATATAATACCCTTGTGCACAAGTGCGCTCGGATATAAAAATAAAGAAAATAGTGGTATCGTCTTCGCTAAAATGTCCCTAAGGTAAATTTATTAAGCTAGTTATGAAATATATTTTAATAATAAATACTTTTCAGGAGAAAACAAAGCCCTCCAAAACCATTACCGGTGGAAGATAGTTCCGGAGAAAGCTCATTGTTTTTTGACATACCTACATATGTAACAGTGAAATACGTATGTGTTTCCTTTACATTTGTAATATTAATAATACTTGGATGTTTTATTACGTACATACTAGGGCGGGTACATTTTTTTTTATTATGTGCGCATAGCATAGGAGGATTCTACTTGCAATTCTAAGCAAATTTGTTGAAGAAATCATGGGTCTAAAATCGATTTAGAGTTTGCCAAATTGCGAGAACAGGTTTCGAAAGAAAATGTCAAAATTTTCTTTGTTGGGACCTCCGATGGAAGTTTTAAGAAAAAGATAAGTGCAGAAATGAACTCTTCATTCCACAAAGGCCGTATACCATAGTTTTATACAAAATTAAAGCACTACTTTACGACACTACAGCAAAATGCTAAGAAACCTGTTTTCGCAATTTGGCAAACTCTAAGTTGATTTTAGACCCATAGTTTCTTCGGCAAATTTTCTTAGAATTACACATAGAATCCTTCTGTTCTATACGCGCATAGTCGGAAAAATCTCTCATACAAATTGAGCCGCGCTAATGCATACATAAATATGTATATGTAAATCTACCACATTGTTTTGGAATCTACCACAATTTTAAAGGCTTATCTACCACCTAAAAAAATTTTACAGTCCGCACACTGTTCACTAGCCACAGTGTGGTCAGCCATCATTGGCGTGCGTTCTTTCAGTTTGGTCAGTAGGGTTGCCTATATTTAAGGACTAACGTCAGTGTTGGTGTCTACTAGGACCCAATCCCACATACATACATATATACATATTTACGTTTGATAAGTAATCAAAAGTAGTTAGAACTCTTTATAAAGGCTTCTTCATGTTTTCTTTTAGATATTTTGGAAGCATTTCGAACGGAGGAGCAAAAGTTTGGGCAAACGTTCTTTTCGTGGCTTGGGCCTTATCCATTTCTAGTTGTTGCTGATCCTCAAATAGCGCAAGAAATTTTAACTTCTCCTCACTGTGTTAATAAAAGTTTTATATATAACGCATTGGATGACGGTACTGGTAAAGGACTTTTTAGCTTATCAAGTGAGTATCCATCTATTTTTGTTTATGCGTAGTATAGCTTCGAGTTTTTAAGATCCTAAGTGGACAACACACAGGCGTCTTTTAAATCCCGCATTTGGTCACAAAGTTCTCTTAAATTTTATTCCGACCTTTAATGAAGAGGCAAAAAAATTGTTGAAAAATTTGGAAGTGCATTTAATGGATGAAATTGATTTAACGAGTGTACTTCAAAACTTTACACTAAAGGTTGCAACACGTGAGTTGATACTTGTATATTGTTAGATATGTAAGTAATTTGGATAACTATATCGATTTATAGAGACGACAATGGGTGACACCATCTTCTGCGATGGCTCAAAAGACTTTCATGAAGGGGTATTAAGCTGTTATAAATGGTAAACTTGCCTTTTTTCTTTTGGTAATAAAAATTAATTAAGTTTAGCCGTAGTGTGCAGGAATCAATGACACAGATGTGTTTTTCGCCGTGGTTAAACTTCAAAGCATTTAGATGGTTGTGGAAGAACTACTCGGCATATGCGGAGGCTAAATTGGAAATTCGGAATTGCATACGTAAAGTAAGTTTTGAAACGATGAAAGTGAAACTGAAAGTGCTTCTGTTCCTGGTGTTCGTGAAATGAAATCAAGGATTTACTGTCGGGCTCGGCTTTCTGCAGATTGGTCGTCCAATTATAGTTGCTTCATCGTCACAATCATGATGCAACGATTATATGACGACTACACTTTCGCACCCTCGGTCGTGGTATTTCAATTCATTTGGCGTCTAAAAATTCGCTGTCTTTCTGTCTTTTTGGTTGATATTTTGGCGAAATTTTTACAAAAATATACAGTTTTAAAATTATGAACTGTGCTGCAACAGTTCTGGACACAATCTTTCATTAATCTCTTCTTTTCTTTTCCTTAAATGTGTTTAGTGCACGCACGCAGAGATTTTTTACAATTTCGTCATATTTGATAGATTAAACTCTCATATTTATTGAATGTTATTGCAATTGTCCAATTTTTAATAATTTCTACAAATTTTTTTGAATTTTAATGCAAATATTAACTTTTTCACTAATTTTTCCCCAAAAATGTAAACAAACAATGCGTGCATACCGATTAGCAAACGACAGTGTCTTACTTATCCGTTTCTGCATCTTCTACGAGTTGCCGGTAACTAGCCCATAACGACCAGTGTGCAAGCCTCCATTGAAATGCATGCGTTCGGCTCAAAATTTCAGAGCGAGACGATAACTCAACCATGATTGGACGACAAATGTGCAGATAGCCTTCAACTGCTCCAATAGCTATCTTTGATTACTAAAAGATTATACGGTGTTAGACTGATCATGAACTTTATAAGCGACCTAGTAAAGATCGTAGGGCTGGTCGAGTAGTTCACGAAACTGCGCTTAAAATCTTTGTAACACCCTCAAATTCTCGACTTATCATTTTTACGTAACTTCCTGCACTAAACAATTTTTAGCTTATCATTTTAAGTTTTTATATGGATGTAATGTGGAACGATTTTCCGCCATCCCTTGTCAAATTTGGTTTGGAGACAAACCGAACGAAAAATGACACTGAAGATGGCACAACGCCGAAACCGGTTTGTCTCCAAACCAAATTTGACAAGGGATGACGGAAAATCGTTCCACATTAAGATAAGATAGTACTGTGCGGTCGCCTGTAATTTCGCTCTTGAGAGTATTTTTATTTTATATCTCTAAAAAGTGCTGAAAAGTTAATAGACTAATAAATTATTGTGGTTGAATAGAGGAAGTGATCGCAGAAAGTGAACTAGCAAAATATTTGCCAATAATAATTAGTTTTATTTGTTTTAAACAACGTAAAGTAAAACAGAGGCAAGCAAGCATAAACAGCAGAAACAAAAAGATTATTATTGTTGCTGTTCCAGTTATTGTGTTTACTTCCACATCGCATTCATCAGCTGCTCCATTATCAGCTGCTCCTTATCATCTACTCTCGGGTCAGGTGATATTAAAACTTTGGCTGGAGCGACATCTATCGGTGTTATCCATACAATAGCTGTGAGCGCCATCTGTTGGTGAGTCTTGAAGCCTTTAGAGAGTTACTGATCTGCGAACATGAACAAGAGGACTAAGAACATACGCATTGTCCACCAATCGCCCCCAACGACACCAGCCCTACTGAATAATGCGAAAACCAGTGACAGTTCAACTTCTTCATGGATATTACGAATTGAAGCAAAGATAGATAGTGTGGTCAGTCAGCTGACAACACGTATCAAGGAGTTTGAAGATAGAATGATGCAGAGGTTTGGTGAGATGGCTGCTGATGTGCAAACTGTCAAGATGAAAGTGATACAGCTGGAAGATCGCGTAGCGAAAACAGAGCGTGAGTGTATACAGGTAGCAGAGCTCAGGAAAGAGTTGCATCTATTAAGTTCAAGAGTTGGAGAATATGATAATATCTCCGTTGCTAATGACTTAATCATTAATAGTATACCGCAAACTCATGACGAAAAGCTGAGCGATGTATTCAATGATATTTGCAAAGCTGTTCGAACAAATGCGCCCCCCATTCGTGCTGTATTCCGTGTGCACAATAGCAACAAGCAGAGCAACAACAACAAGCAGAGCTCACCTATCGTCATCAAGCTGGTCTCTGCGGGCGATCGTTCACCACTATTTATGGCCTGGCGAAATTCTATAAGCAGAACAAAAGGAGAATCATGCTGCGTGACATCGGTCGTCATACAGATGAGCGCATATATATTCACGAAAGCCTGACGAAAAATAATCGCGAGCTACTTCAGTTCGCATTGCAGCTGAAGAGGTAGAAGCGTATATTTTCTGCTTTCTCTTTTCATGGTAATATTTATGTGCGACTTCAAAAACAAGGCGAATCAATGAAAGTGTCCAACAGAGATGAAATTGAAAGCGTTGCGGCAAAGGGTGCATGATACCGTGTGCATGTCAAACTTATTTACTCCTCATATATTCGTTTATTTTTACTTATCGTAGGTTAATAAATACTCCGCTTTGTATTTCTCACTGTCTCTCTCTAAATGTTTACTCTCTTCATTCTATTGCGAAATATCAAATCCACACTGGCTTATATCTAAAATGTATACATGTTCTTCTAGTTGTCTCCCTTCTTACTCAGCCTAATGATTGTAAACCCAGTTAACAAAAATGTCTTCGGTGTTGGTGAAAACCACAAGATGTTAGTAGATATACTGTGTAGGCAGACTTCAGGTCTTAACGTGGTTCATTTCAATGCGCGAAGCCTTAGTGGTGATAAACTGGACTACGTTAGGCATGTTTTTGAGGAATCCTTGGTTGATGTAATTTGTGTTACTGAAACCTGGTTCTGCCCCTCTGTCCTTGATCTATCCTACAGCATTCCAGGCTATAATCTTCTTCGTCACGATCGAAACTCTAAAAGTGGGGGTGGCGTTGCAATATATAGCAAAGCATCTATAAAAGTACGTCTATTGGCTGAATCTTTCAACTCTTGTACTGAGTTCATTATAGCTGAAGTCTCTGATGGAGTAACAAGCATTTTAGTGGCGTGTGTGTATAATCCCCGAAAGTGTAGTTTATTAGACTCATTTTTTGTTGAACTGTCTGTGTATCTAATTGACTATGAAATTTATGTGATTTGTGGTGATTTCAATGTGAACCTGCTCCAAAGCGACACCTATTCTGATCAACTACTTGATCATGTTACCGCCGCGGGTCTTTCCATAGTTAATAAATCTGTACCGACGAGATTTGCTAATAATTGTAACCCCAGCCTCTTGGATTATTTTATTACATCTAGTCTCAACCATGTCCTCAAATTTGACCAATTATTCTTTATATCTGACCACGACCTGATTTTCTGTTCAATAAATGTTATGTTTAATCGTCCCTCTGTTAGTAACACATTTATGTATCGTGACTATAAGTCTGTAAATATGAATGAGCTATGTCAAAGCCTCTCAAGTGTGAATTGGAATGACTGTTGGTATTGTGATTCAGTGGATGAAAAACTTCTATTTTTTAATAACAACTTGACAAATATTTTCGAAAATCATATTCCTCTTCGTATGGCTCGAGCAACCAATCCATCTTGCCCTTGGTTCACCCAAAGAGTACATTCGGCAATAAGAACTCGTAACAGGCTATATGCAAAATGGAGAAGGCAAATGACTGACTTCACCTGGTCTCAATATAAAGCTGCTCGAAATAAAGCTACTTCACTTATCAAGCAAGCAAAAAGAAAATACTGTGGCGCTAAATTGGATCCATCACTTCCTTCTAAATATTTATGGCGAAACTTAAAAAACTTGAAAGTGCATGGAAATTTGAAGTCTGAATGTGATTTAGATCCTTTTATACTAAATGACTTATTTACAGCTGCGAGTAGTAACATAGGTGCACCTCACAATTCGAAAGCTCTCTGGGTTGATACCACCTTGGAAGAGAAATTTCAGTTTGTGGGAGTAAGTAGAGGTGATGTTGTTAGAGCCATATGGGGTATTAAATCTGAAGCTATTGGTGATGATGGAATTTCGTTGAAATTTGTGAAATTAGTTCTTCCATTCATATTGGGCGTCGTTACCCACATCATTAACCATTGCTTCACGACATCATGCTTTCCTGCGCATTGGAAAAAAGCCATCATACTACCAGTTGCAAAGAAGACTACGCCCATTAACCCTAGTGATTATAGGCCGATCAGCATATTACCAGCTTTAGCGAAAGTATGTGAGTCCTTGATGGCAGAGCAAATTTCATCATTCATCCAGAAAAATAAATTGCTATCCCCACTGCAGTCCGGGTTTAGACCGAAGCACAGCTGCTCTACTGCAATGATGAAAATACTTGACGACATTAGAATACAATTCGACAATAATGACTTATCTCTCCTATGCCNTGACGACATTAGAATACAATTTGACAACAATGACTTATCTCTCCTATGCCTATTAGACTTCTCAAAGGCTTTTGACATGGTTAATCATGATTTGTTATGTAAAAAATTAAAACACTTCTTTGGATTCTCGGATTGTGCAATAAAACTTATGATGAGTTACCTTGAAGGTCGGGTTCAAAAAGTGAGGAGGAAAAATGGTTTCTCTAGTTTTAAAGCTACTTTGTCTGGTGTTCCGCAGGGGTCTGTCCTAGGTCCTCTTTTGTTCAGTTTATTCGTCAATGATGTGTTCTCAGTATATAAGTATGTTAATATTCATGCGTATGCCGATGATATTCAAGTGTATTTGTCTAGTCGTGTTGGTCTTGTTGAGGATTTGTGTTTTAGAATAAATAGTGATTTGTCTGCTATATCGCAGTGGGCAAGCGATAACTATCTATGCCTAAATGCGTCTAAGTCCTTTGTGTTGCCAATATGTAATCGCGTAGTGAATGTTGAAAATATACCAGATTTGTTTATTGGTAATAGTGTGCTAATGTTTGTTAATAAGATCAAAAATTTAGGCTTTGTTATCAACTCTAAGTTGACCTGTTCAGACCATGTTAATAGTGTTGTTAGCAGTGTGTATTCTGTTGTGCGAAGGTTGAGAATATCTGCTTCATTTACGCTATTGGAAACTAGGCGAAAGTTAGCGCAACAGCTCATCGTGCCCCTTATAACTTATTCAGAACTTGTCTACAGCAAATTTGGTTCGACTTCCTCCCACAAAATTAATGTTCTCTTTAATAATGTCACTCGTTATGTGTATAGTCTAAAAAAGTTCGACCACATATCTCAGTGGAAAAATAAAATTCTGGGGTGTAGCATTAATGATTATCTTCCTGCTAGGAACTGCATATATATATATAAGTTATTAGAATGGAAATCCCCAATGTATTTGTATGAGAAGCAAAATCCAACGAAATCAAAAAGATGTCGCAATCTGATAATCCCGAAGTACAACTACTTGACATCGTCGAGGTTGTTTTTTATCAACGCTGTAAGACTTTTGAACATCATCCCTGAATCCGTTAAATCTGGACTAATTAGGAGCAACTACAAGTTGATCATATATAGTTACTTTAAGTCCACATAGTTGGTGTGATTTTGATAAATCGTTTGCAGTTCTCTCATCTGTCCCTATTTTATTATCTTCGTTGCTAATCTCTATATCTTATTTTCCTCTAAAAGCTTACATATCTCGATTATTCTTATTAGTCTTAAGTATGCCTATTATAAATTTATTTTAAAAGTATTATGTCACTAATTTAAGTTGATGTACTCTTAAAAGATTATAGTCTTACAACCATTGTTTTCTTCAATAAACTAAACTAAACTAAACTTATATCACACTCCTACCCTGTCGGAAACACCAAAAACGAAAATGAGAATTTTTATATGGTTTGAACTAAACATTATTCTCGAAGTGATTACTAAAAGAGTTGACTGTCTTTTAAAAATATAATAAAAATAATAAAACTTGGTGTAAATTTCAGATGTATTCCAAATATTTGCACATATTTACAACGCGCTCACAAAACTTATTTTTTTTTTAAATAGTACAAATATTCTTTTTAAACCCATATAGAACTTAAAATTGGTTAAAAGTAAGCCGATATAAAAACTGTATAGTGCCGGAAGTCATGCGAAAGTGTTTTTTTAATAAGAAGAATTTGACGGTGTTAGAAAATTTTTTAAAACAGTTTCGTGAATTACTCGGCCTGCTCTACGACCTGTACTACGTTACTTAAAAAGTTCGTGAATTTTTTTTATTTTGTAACACAGTGTTATCATAACTCTAAAACAACTATTGTTCAGAACTCCTTTAAAATTTTTAATTTGATCTCACCGTGCTAATAAGGGAGGTAACGCGGAAACTATAAAAGTGTTTAGATTGTTTATTACACAATATGAAGCATGGTATAAAAAATAACTCTGCTTCTCTCAAAAATTTATTTTTTGGAGTTGTGTATATTTTATTGTAACCGACTCCCAAAGGAACGCTCAACAAAGTTAAATTATGTCAACGCTATGATAATAAATAATAATAGATTGGCGCTTACACATGTGTTAGCATTTGGCATGGCGTCTTACGACGATTTCGAATGACGATTTCATTTTTATGAGAGGCTGTTTTAAGTGATGTTCCGATACCAGTACTTAGAAGTATATACTCCAGTACCTCCACCAAGTACCGAGTTTTTTTGTACTTCGATACGCGTGTACAAGTACTTCATGGGTATCGAGTATAAAGTGTAAGTTTTTACTTGTTTGCTAAATTTGGGAAAATCAACTGAAAATAGGTCTGTGTTGTAGTTTTTGAAGAAAAAACCATTCAAGATGTGAACCACTCGATTTCGCTAGGGTTAAAACTAACGAAAGTGGAGAACGAAAATCGCATCGAATTAGAGGAAGATGTGGTACCAGCCTATGAATTGCGGAAGCATCGTCTATATATCCTTTTGAAACCGAAGAATCAAACACAAGTTAACAATGAACTTTCTCATTACTTAACATCTCCTATTTCAGCACTTTCAAGTAACCCCATGTGCAAATAGAAGGATATGAAAAGGCATTTTCAGATCTTCATAGGCCTTTCTCCACTGTACTATGTCTTTATATTGTAAATGGGCATTGAATTAAAATTTCTTGTGTGATTACTTTCGAGTACAAATAGAATCGAGTATTTCCTAGCGATACTTTGAGTAGCATCGATTATTCTCCTCGATACTTTTGATGAGTACAGGCATCGAGTACATGGTGGTATCGGACAAACACTAATTGTGTTTCATGGCAGAAATACAATCGGAAGTTTGCCATTGCCTGTCGAGGGGCGACCGCTAATAGAAAAATACTTGCTTGTTTTTTTATTGTTTTAACGTTGGGTTGAACCGGACTTGAACACAGGACCTGCGGAATCGTAGCGCGGACTGCTAACCACTACACCACAGCGGCCGCCAACGTTATGTAAGAAAATTATGAGTGGATTTTCATAATATTAGCTTAATTTATATATTTATTATATTCAACAATTTTTATTGAGCTTGAGGCCGGTTTTAATGAAAAACTTTTTTGTGGAAAAGCAAAAATAATGTGAAAAAATGGTAGAAGTGATAGTTATNTCCTCCCACAAAATTAATGTTCTCTTTAATAATGTCACTCGTTATGTGTATAGTCTAAAAAAGTTCGACCACATATCTCAGTGGAAAAATAAAATTCTGGGGTGTAGCATTAATGATTATCTTCCTGCTAGGAACTGCATATATATATATAAGTTATTAGAATGGAAATCCCCAATGTATTTGTATGAGAAGCAAAATCCAACGAAATCAAAAAGATGTCGCAATCTGATAATCCCGAAGTACAACTACTTGACATCGTCGAGGTTGTTTTTTATCAACGCTGTAAGACTTTTGAACATCATCCCTGAATCCGTTAAATCTGGACTAATTAGGAGCAACTACAAGTTGATCATATATAGTTACTTTAAGTCCACATAGTTGGTGTGATTTTGATAAATCGTTTGCAGTTCTCTCATCTGTCCCTATTTTATTATCTTCGTTGCTAATCTCTATATCTTATTTTCCTCTAAAAGCTTACATATCTCGATTATTCTTATTAGTCTTAAGTATGCCTATTATAAATTTATTTTAAAAGTATTATGTCACTAATTTAAGTTGATGTACTCTTAAAAGATTATAGTCTTACAACCATTGTTTTCTTCAATAAACTAAACTAAACTAAACTTATATCACACTCCTACCCTGTCGGAAACACCAAAAACGAAAATGAGAATTTTTATATGGTTTGAACTAAACATTATTCTCGAAGTGATTACTAAAAGAGTTGACTGTCTTTTAAAAATATAATAAAAATAATAAAACTTGGTGTAAATTTCAGATGTATTCCAAATATTTGCACATATTTACAACGCGCTCACAAAACTTATTTTTTTTTTAAATAGTACAAATATTCTTTTTAAACCCATATAGAACTTAAAATTGGTTAAAAGTAAGCCGATATAAAAACTGTATAGTGCCGGAAGTCATGCGAAAGTGTTTTTTTAATAAGAAGAATTTGACGGTGTTAGAAAATTTTTTAAAACAGTTTCGTGAATTACTCGGCCTGCTCTACGACCTGTACTACGTTACTTAAAAAGTTCGTGAATTTTTTTTATTTTGTAACACAGTGTTATCATAACTCTAAAACAACTATTGTTCAGAACTCCTTTAAAATTTTTAATTTGATCTCACCGTGCTAATAAGGGAGGTAACGCGGAAACTATAAAAGTGTTTAGATTGTTTATTACACAATATGAAGCATGGTATAAAAAATAACTCTGCTTCTCTCAAAAATTTATTTTTTGGAGTTGTGTATATTTTATTGTAACCGACTCCCAAAGGAACGCTCAACAAAGTTAAATTATGTCAACGCTATGATAATAAATAATAATAGATTGGCGCTTACACATGTGTTAGCATTTGGCATGGCGTCTTACGACGATTTCGAATGACGATTTCATTTTTATGAGAGGCTGTTTTAAGTGATGTTCCGATACCAGTACTTAGAAGTATATACTCCAGTACCTCCACCAAGTACCGAGTTTTTTTGTACTTCGATACGCGTGTACAAGTACTTCATGGGTATCGAGTATAAAGTGTAAGTTTTTACTTGTTTGCTAAATTTGGGAAAATCAACTGAAAATAGGTCTGTGTTGTAGTTTTTGAAGAAAAAACCATTCAAGATGTGAACCACTCGATTTCGCTAGGGTTAAAACTAACGAAAGTGGAG